TAATGGTTTAGTGATACTGATCTTACTAATTAACCCATAGCTGGGGAGAAGAAGTGGCTTCATAACGTTAGTTGCGGGTAAGTGAATATAACGTAACCAACAGTAATTAGACCTCGGCCCTCTGGTTAACAATTCTGTGCCATTATCCATCAGAGCAACTGTGCATTCACGCTTATAGCACTGGTATTCTGAAGCGGACACTCATCTAGATACTGGCCAGTTTCGACGTTGCTTTACTTCGGCAATTTTCTAGTAATTCAAGCAAATAAACATCTGTAGAGTATGGAGGAGGCAGAATAATCTTCCACCTTAAGGATTATATTTTTTCCTAGGTTTCTTTTGCAGTTTTTTTAGCATCGCGTTATCCTGTTAACAATAACTTTTAGGATTACCAAAACAGAACACTTAATGTTTCTTTTATGCGATCGTGTTACTGACAACAAGCATATGCAGTGATGGTCCTTCCATAGTCTAGTAGATCGTAATGAACGACACCTTACGTATTTCACTAGACAAAAAACAACACCTTTTGATGAAGTCTTCGCTTTGATGCTAGTTCTGTTTTATCACTTTGGGAAACAAGGTACTATAAGCTTGGGTGCGCGAGTGGTGTAATCGATAACAGCTCAGAATTGGAAATTGCAAAGTCGAGTTCAAATTCCAGATGGGTTCGTTATATTCATTATATTCATTAACGCGTAAATATCCTTGGAAAAGCTATGAATCCACCTCTCCCCCCACCAGGTTTTCGCTAATTAAGTAAATCATTATTATCTCCAAAAGAAATCTTAGAATATAAAAACATTTTAAATAACACGGGAAAGATTGATAAGCCGTAAAATAAAATAAAATCAATCATATTTTGTCATAACTGCTGTCTATTCCGTTTTTTGTTTAAATACAAAAAAAAAAAAACAATTTTCATCTATTGTAATAATGGCGTTGGAAAATGAAAGTTTGATATTCCTGATTAAAAGGCTGCTGCATATGGGTGTGTCCGGGTTTTCAAACGAAAGCTCAGGACGAACACAAGTTCCATCATTGGAAGTTTTCCCACCCGCCTTTGAAATGTTCGTCGACAATTGAACAAGAAACATTAAGATTTGTTCCAAATCTCTGGTGTGCTTAGCCGTCGATCCAATTCAATATTCTCTTTCAAAAGTTTTTTTCAGAATAAGTCGCCTTGTAGACTGACTCTTGTCGAAGATGTTACCGTCATAATTTCTACACGTATTAAATCAATGTCGATTGAACTTACTACAGAAACTTTCTTACTCGCCACAATGTACAAATGGTAGTCTATAAATTATTTCACTTTTTAATGATTTTAAAAACAAATAACATGGCCCCTGTATGAGGTAAACGAACATAACACTTCTCAGGTTCCTTTTCTTTATTATTTATAAATTGCTTTACAGTCTTGGGAAGTAGAGCGTTTCCCTGTTGGCTACTCCACGCTTAAGAAAGAGTTGTCTTTTCTTTGGTTGCCATCCAAAGTTAGAAAACTGTCTACCCTGCTTATTTAACGCTTAGGTTAAGGCCTGGAGATTAATTGAACCTATGCGAAAATGACAATAACGTCATGGATTTTAATTTTTTTTTTAACTGTTTCACTTTTAGCGCTGATAACACTTTCATTACTCGTATATCCAATTATATATACAGGGCGTATTAAAAATACTTTTAAAAGCTTTGGGGGCGAAATCCTCACACCAAAACGAGGAAAAAATCCATATAAACATATACTCACGAATTCTTCGTTTTTGAGCTATGTTTAAATGTTTATGGTAGATGGCTCTGTTTGGAAATATAGACTAGGCCACATTTGCCATTCGTGTACATTTGTGGTTAGTCTGTCTTCAAAGCTTAGCGTATGTAGTAGTAACTTAACTTAGAAATGTTCCGTGTAACAATGTCAAAATATTCATATCGTGTGCAGCCGCGCGAATAGCAATGGGTTCTGAGTCTGCGCAGTTGCATTAGATTGCGCTTCCACACCAAAGGAAGCCGAGTTATCGAATCTTTGCTACTGTTTATTGTCGCGTTTCTGAAACAGGATCCGTGGCATCATAAACTATGGGTCGAGGAATTTTACAGGTTATCGGCGACGATTCAGGTATAAGCACATATTAAGTGGCGCTAGAATGTCATACATCTCATAGTACCTCATGGAGGGTACTACAAGAGCAGTTCTTGTATCCGTATCATTTGCAACATTTGAAGTTTCTTTTGTTCACTAATCACTCACCACGGGATAACTTTTGTTGATGGTTTATTGCACAAATTGCCGATCCGTTGTTTGTCTCTTCAGTCTTGTTTACGAATGAGGCAACATTTGGAAAAGATGGAATAACAAATTTACACAAGCAACATTTGTGGCTGGATTGGAATCCCCAGGGTACAATACAAGCTAGACACCAACATCTGTTTATGATTGATGTGTTGGCTGGAATTGTAGGTGACTGTCTGATAGGTCGATAGTTCTCCCAGCACACTTCCAGACCTGCTAGAGGATGTACTCCTGCTACTACGAAAAAACTTAATAACTCAAAAAGGAACGATTTGCGAGCATATCTTTATGAGGACTTTTGTCTTTATTTTGGTCGGAGGAACCTGGCCCAAGGTCTGTAAAAGTATTGTTGAGACACGCACACACACACACACACACACACACACACACACACACACACACACACACACACACACACACAAACACACTCTCTCTCTCTCTCTCTATCTCTATCTATCTATCTATCTATCTATCTGTCTATCTATCTATCTCTCCTTGTTTCTCTCTTTTTCTCTATATATGAATATATATATATATGTATATTATATGTTTTTTATAAAAGATTATAATAAAAACATAAATAATTTTGAAATCACAACACAAAAGTTTATTGAAACATGAAAGTTTTTATGTAGCGATTTCAAAATGTTTATTATAATCACTTATAACAAAAATATAATAATATCTTGCTCTAATTTGTATTGAGCACTTTTAAAAAAAAAATAAATGCTTCGGACAGTGGATTGTTTACTCCATCTGTTCTTTCTCTCATTATTTCTATGTATGACTAGTGCATTAGCTAAGTTGTCTTTTTGTGAATTCAACCACAATTTTGATTTTAAAAAGGCTACACTCATAAAAAAAGAAAATAACTCACTCAGAAGGAAAAATCCTCGAGGGTGCCGTCATTGAATATTACACAAATATTAATCTACGGCCAGGCTTTTCCCTATCCCACCTTTCTTAACAGAATTACTACTTTCCCAAACAATCGTACAGAACAGTATCAAGAAATAAAAAAAAAATGATTGAATCGGTCAACACAGCAATAAAAACAATATCTCCACACGTGACAGCAATTGACGTAATTTTCAGTGAACAGTATGAAAATAGCGTTCTCTAAATTCTTCCAGTTGCTAGGGACATTTTGTTTTGTTATTATCAGTTACTTTGTTTAAATAAATTCATTTCGTTTCTTGCCTTGAAAAAGTCCCAATTGGACGAAACGCGTCGGCAACTGCTACAGTTTTCCTATTGTCTTTTACATTTATAAATATTGTCTTTTTGTACAGGTTAACTCTTAAAAGTTTTTCATGAAGATATATATATATATATATATATATATATATATATATATATATATATAAAACACGAATAAACTTATAAATGTAAGCAGCTATACTCGTCCGGCAAAACCATAGGTGTTTTAGCTTGTAAATGAACAAACCAATACCCAAGGGGGAAAAAAAAGAAAGAACTAAGAACATGTACTTCCGGCGAAAATAATCGTCGAGAATCTAAGTTCAGAGTCCAAAGAAAAAACCCCTCCGACACTAGTAAAGTAAAAAAAATAACTAAAAAAAAGTGCTCAATACGCTAAGTAGAGCAAAATAAGTAAATAAACCTAAAGAGTCAGACTAGCCTACCTAGGTAGGTTAGTCTGGCTCTTTAGGTTTATTTACTTATTGTCTTTTTTTAAAAAAAACTTTTGACTAACTGTTTACCTCGGAGTTCTTGAAAAGATCCAGAGATGGATATGTAATCTAATTGACCCTGATCTGGCGTCTCGTCTACAGTCAATCTCTCACAGACGCGCCGTCGCCTCTCTCTGTCTTTTCTACAAATACTTTCATAGTAATTGCTCCGATGAGCTGCTTTCACTGGTTCCCAGACTCCATGAATTCAAGCGCCCTACGAGTTGGCATCCCACTCCCACCCTTACACTGTAGAACTCCAATAGCTTCATATCTCGCACCTCTCGCCTGTGGAACACCCTTCCCAATTGCTGTTTCCCTGAGAGCTATAATCTCCACCTATTCAAATGTAATGTCAGTTACCTTGATCTACCCACTATCCTTCTCCTCATCCTTTCTTCTATCACTCCTATCTGCTCTCGCTCCAAATCTTCTGAAACCCCCTGAACCCTAGTGGCTTCACGCCTTGCTCGAGGCGTAATGCTTTAAAAAAAAAAAAAACTAATCTTTTCTAAAAAAAACGGCTTAAATTAACAAAAAAGTACTCAAAAAGTAGCGGATGATTTGAATCAAATTTTATTCCTGGATTAATGTATTTAAACAGTATTTAATTTTAATGAAAACCAGAACACTGAACATCTATATGTGTCTGCCAACGATTTCCAGAGTCATTTATGTTTTTACGATAAAACACTAATGGTTTGGCCAGCAAGAACTCTTTGAATGCAATTTCTGTATTCGTCTTTGCAACAGAATATCTTTCCACTTAAAAAGTTGTCAAAATGCTTGTAAAAGATTTCGTCAGTGGGTGAGAGATTTGGGTAATGGGTGTCACAAAATCACATGCCACATTTCGGTGAGCTTCTGCAGTGCCATCCTGGGAATATTTAACCGAGCACATGGTAGATTTATAAATGTGAAAGCTGGATTCTGACAAGAACAACATTCAGCCACCAAGCAGTGAACCAACTTTCCTAGCAGCAAAGAAAATTGATTTGATATCATCGATGCACTTCATGTCAGAGAAAAAGGTGATCCCAATAGGCGTTGCTCTCGTGGAGTTTGTTCTATCTATCTATCTATCTATCTATCTATCTATCTATCTATCTATCTATCTCCATATAGTCCTAACTATCTATCTATCTATCTATCTATCTATCTATCTATCTCCATATAGTCCTAACTATCTCCATATATCTATCTATCTATCTATCTATCTATCTATCTATCTCCATATAGTCCTATCTATCTATCAATCACAGTTTATTATCTATATACCTATCTATCTATCACAGTTTATTATCTATCTATCTATCTATCTATCTATCTATCTATCTATCTATCTCAGTTTGTTATCTATTTATCTATCCATCTATCTCTCGCAGATTGTCAATTATCTATCTCATAATTTTAATTATCTATCTATCTATCTATCTATCTATCTATCTATCTATCTATCTATCTATCTATCTCAATATAGTTCTATCTCCATATAGGCCTATCTATTTCATTCTCTTTCCATCTCAATATTGTCCTATCTATCTGTCTGTCTGTCTATCTATCTATCTATCTATCTATCTATCTATATATCTGTCTTATTCTTTTCACTATCTATCTATCTATCTATCTATCTATCTCCATATAGTCCTATCTATCTATCTAGCTAGCTATCTAGCTATCTAGCTATCTAGCTATCTCCACTTTGTCCTATCTATCTATCTCAGTTTGTCATCTATTTATCTATCTATCTCTCGCAGATTGTTAATTATGTATCTGATTATTTTAATTATCTATCTATCCATTTATCTATCTATCTACCTATCTATCACAATATAGTTCTATCTATCTATCTTCATATAGTCCTATCTATTTCATTCTCTTTCCATCTCAATATAGTCCTATTTATCCGTCTGTCTGTCTATCTATCTATCTATTTTATTCTTTTCACTATCCTTCTATCTATCTATCTATCTATCTGCCACACACTGTCAATATATTAAATTTCTATCATATTTAGCGGTTCATGCGCCACATTTTCTTCTCAATAAAAACGATTACTACTCTATAAAAGTTCATTCTCGAAAGGAAACTCCTTACTTAAGAGGTTTTTCGTTTTGTCATTCATTCTGTTAGGAAGGAACCCCAATAATACTTGGAATAGCGATAACTGTGAGTGTATCACACTTTCTAACTCACTTTTATTCTTTCTCTCTGTTTACATTTATGGTGGACTCTCCCGTCTTATTCGGCGTATGAGGGTGAAGCAGTTCAGTTCCTAGGAACCGACAGCCAGATACCAGCACATATGATTTGATTATAATAGTGAAGGCTTTGTGCACAACTAACCACACCTTTTGAAGAGCCGAATACAGAGAGCTGGTGCATTATGTGCCACAAGCTCCCCGCAGGTTCTGAATTCAAAGTTGTCTTTCTCCAGACTAGAAATACTTTTGAGTTATTCATCAAGAAAGAGAATAGATTAAGATCATTTTATGCCAGTCCCACTCTCTTCCCAGATGAGTAACAGTGAGAGGAAAAAGATCATTCATGCCTTCATTATTGGTACCAACACTCATATTCTGGCTTCCATCTTCAAAGTCCGTTCAAGTGCAACACGAGAACGGTGAATGGGTTTTAAAAAGAGGGAACAGTAGAAAGGAAGACTGGATCAGGAGGTCACAGCAGCAGCAATACCAATCAGCATTTCAATTTAGAGCTAAATATATTCTTATAAATATTAGAGTCGAATAGGGTTATAGAAATCCAGTAAGATATCTTTAATCGGATCGTTCGTATTTCGCAAATGCAGCATCAAACACACTTCGAAACATCCAACTCTTTGACTTTCACTGAGTTGATGTCGAACGCATTTATTGAGTTTCTTCACCTTGCTAATTCTCTTGAAATGGTCTGATATTGCTGCCACCCATTCTCTGACACATGATCGTTTGACATGGGTTTCGTTCGACTAGCGTTTTCAAATGTTGATTGTCAATTGCGAATAGACGTCCTCTATCACCTGGATTTTCACGTTTCTTACCGCACTGTCCGATCACAAGTCGACCTTTCATCTGTAAATGTTGGCAGCGGTTCCAGAAGCATTGAACTCCTACAAAACAATTGAATGTATCTCTTCTTTCTTCATGTACAAGATGAAGAGCGTTCTAATGTTTTAAGTTAAATTCAGAAAGAGATTGATATAAAGCTAAGAAAGATGACACTTTAATCAGTCAGTCAGTTATGTACCCTGCGTGGTACACGCTTAGACGATCATGTATCGAAAGATACTTGACTGACGAGGCAGATTTTTTCCCGCTGTAGGTTGCCATTTCTTTCTGGAGTATACCAGTTGCCATACAAGGCTATAGAACCCAGTCTGTCCTGCTATTTACCCATAGAAGAGGATTCATACCCTTCCCAAAGATATTAGCACATAAGTGAATGTAATGGATTCGACTAGAAAGTCAGTCAGTCAGTTAAGTGCCATGCGTGATACACGCTTAGACGATCATGTATCGAAAGATACCTGACTGACTAGGCAGATTTTTTCCCGCAGTAGGTTGCCATTTCTTTCTGCGGTGGACTAGTTGCTATCCAAGGCGATAGAACCCGGTATGTCCTGCTATTTAGCCTGGGTTGGGGAGAGGAGGACTTATACCTTTCCCAAATGTATCAGCACGAAGTGAATGTAATGGATTCGACTGGAATTCGAAATCGGCTCTCCGATTTCTCAATCCCAGCTGCTATCCATTACTCGACTGTACTTTTATTCATTAGGAATGCGTAATATATTCTTTTGCAACTATAATATGTTCTCCTTTTGTCTCGTCTTGGCTTGGGAGGAAGTGACGTAGGACAATTCTGATTAGTCGTTTGCTATTTCAAGATCAGCAGTGGTAGTTACATATATATCCTGCCGGTAAGGTCGCTTGGGTGAACAGGTATTATGTTGAAAGACCCGTAACTTGTCATGACCGCAAGTCATAACATCGCTGTTGAGGCGATCCTGCGCATCCGTTGGAGTGTATTAGTGACAAACAAATTATGACACTTTATTAAATTAAAAGATTATCCTAAAATCGAATATATAAAAGCAAAACAAAGCACAGCTTTTATTAAAGAAGCAGTCCTTGTCCAAATCACACTTACGACAATATAAGGAGACTGATGTCGGAATACAGAACTGGTTCTCAAACCGACCTCATTTGTATTCCATATCCAAGGATCTTTTCTTTATATGAGCTAAGCATTGACCTACCGCGTAAGGAAAACTTGTAAATTTTAACGCCTACTAAACGAAACTTTTAATAGTTTATCTTAATATTATTATAAGATATATATATATATATATATATATATATATATATATATATATATATATATCTATATCTTAAATGATTTAATAGAGCCTAATTTTTGCATCCATCAGCACAGGTGATGTTAAACCTCGGGGAAAACATCTCATTACGTTTTCTTGTTCTCACGTTTTCCGCTAACATGGAGTGGGGGGGATCATATTGAATCAAATTCTAGGTGTGATGCTAGGAATGTTGATTCAATGTGTCAAGCCAACGTTTTTCTTCCTCGCCGCAATCCATCTTGCACATTTATAAATCTACGATTCGTCCGTGCATTGAATATTGCTGCCATATATGATCTGGTCTTCCTGCTATAGATTCTCGACAAAAAACCCAGAGACTGTCCTGTAAAGTTATCAGTCCTGATTTTGCATCTCGTCTTCAGACTCTCACCCACCGCCGATCTTCTAAAAATATTTCTATGAAGATTCTTCTAATGATCTGTACCCTCTTGATATCTCGTGCGTATTAATTCAAGAAGTACTACTAGCTAGGCAATTAATTGAACTTGCTAGATTATACCGCAAGTTCTATGCTAATAGTTTCTTTTCTCACACTTCTCACCTGTGGCACTCTCTTCCGGTGCCTTGCTTACCTGTCCTCTACAATCTTGAAAAATTTAAAGGCAACGTCAATCACCATCTTCTCTCTTTCTGAATACTGTACTAAGCTGTTACGTGACATCTGTCCTCCTTTACGGCAGCAAATGTTAGACAGATGAAGAAGAGACTTGAGGAGACGGATATGTGGTTCTACAGAAAGATGCTGAGGATACCATGGATCGAGCGTGTGAGCAACGATGAAGTTTTGGAGAGGATGTAAACAAGGAGGAGGCTTAAACTTAACATCAGGAAGAGGGAGCTGAAGTTTCTGGGACACGTAATGAGAAAAGGGAGCCTGGAGAATCTGATACTCACAGGTCGAATAGAGGGGAAGAGGGACAAGGGAAAGCAACGCATGATATACCTTAGCGGGCTTAAGAAAGTGGATGACAGAACTGGGACGGGGGGTAGCAAGGGATGAAATATATTGAGATCTAAAGAGATAGGTGGTAGTGGAGAGCCATGATCGACTACATCCTGAAAGGCACATAAAAAGAAAAGGAAAAACTTTATTGTCTTTTCCTTTCCCTAAAGTTTTCTCATTCCCTTTCACTCCCCGTAGACACGCTTTCATCTTAGTGGCATTATCATCGTGGTTGGGGTGAAATGATTACAAAGAATATAGAACATTATCAACAGGAAATGTCTTTTCTTACGGTTATATTTGAATCATCAGGATAACGAAAGATATCTTCCAAAAGCTCAGCAAAGAATCAAGGCACAGAAACATTTCGATATAAGCAAAGAAAACAGTGTTGAACACTTACGTAATGACAGTCCTCCTATAAGACATTGAAGAAAAGACTTGAGCCAACAGAAATGTTATTCTACAGAAGCATGCTGAGAATACCCTAGACTGAGAATGTGAACAACGACGAAATTTTAGAGAAATGGAAAGAAAAAGCGCCCTTATACTTAACATCAGAAAAGAAGAGTTGAAATATTTAAGACACATAAGAAAAAGGGCTTGGCAAATTGGACACACATATGACATATTGAAGACAAGACAGACAGAGGAACACAGTGCATAACCTACTTAATGACCTTTTGCAAATCGAACAGGGTAATGTGAGATAGGAAAAAGACAAAATTTACTAAGAGCTACAAAGGACAAGAAGTTGTGGAGATCTATGATCGCCAACGTCCTGAAGGGACTTAGCATATTCAATAAGAAAAAGAATGAGCCAGTGTAAATAGATGGAAGAACAGGGTTTAGGATAGATAGCAAAATGATAACATTTACCAAGAGCTACAAAGGACAGGAAGAAAATCAATCTCTTTCTTCAATTTTTTAAATTTTCTTTTTGTCTATTCTTATTGATTTCTCTCTGTTACAATTCCTTGAAAATCCCTGGACGATGGTTTAACCCTAGAACACTAACCATCAATTAAAGTTACATCACTAGTAAACATGGTTATATCATATCCGATTTTGAAAATATCAAAAAAAATATTAAATATAAATCTATATTTGAATATTTTACATTCAGGCACTTAAAACTTTGTACTTTGAGTTAACATTAATTGGATATGAAAAACATTATTTAGGTAAGAAAATCAGGTACTGAAAATTGTAATTAAAAATAGGAAAATTTTCGATGGGTACATGCTTAGTGTTTTAAGGTTAAGAAAAGAAATTTAAACGGGAGACATGACATGAAATGGAACGAAATATGTCTAACACAGGCTACAAAAACACAGAACAAAAGAAAATGGCCACAATTATTGCTGAAAATATTATGTTTTCTATATAGCCTCGCTTTGACTTTCCCATGGATGCTGAAGATAGCTAACCTGTCAACTATCTATAACCACCCGCTTAAATCAAGATTTAAAATGGTTTCGGGCGAATGAATCTTGCAGGCCTTAGAGAGAACTGCCATTCCTCAAACTGGCGCAACAGAATCGCAAACAAAGAAATCTACCAAATAAAAGAGTCTACACGCTTGACTACCTTCAACAAATAAACTGGATATCGCATGAAACTCGTAGAGAACATAACGACATAATCTAGATGACCAATGATAGAAAGTTGTGGAGAGCCATGGCTGTTCACGTTTGGAAGGGACACAACGCAGAAGGAAAGATTAACGGATAATCATTGTGTTAGTAGAATGAGAACAAGGAAGATGGTTATGTTCAAGTATAAATATGTCATGTGAAATATATGTCTTTTTATCATGAGGCAATGGATTAATTGTGATGTATTCATTTCGAAATCATTGTTGGCGAGCTCGATTTTTGGTTGGCACCACTAATTTGTGATTCTGCATCGAACTTGGATAGATTAATATCGACATCAATAAATGTAAATCTATTTCATTTTCTTCGAAACTACATATACAAAAATTCACTAATGGTTGGCTATATATCTATCAATCTATCTCGCACTATTTCTATCTGTCTATCTATAAATCAGTCTATCTATCTAAAATTTCTATCCATCTCATTTCGTTCATATCTCTCTATCTCAGTCTGTTCATTTCTTTCTATCTATCTATCTATCTATCTCCGAAAACTATTTCACATCTATTTCAGATAATTCGTATCTATCAATATGTCTATCGCATTCAGTTAATAATCTATCTATATCGGTCACATCATGTCTATTTTTCATTCTATCTATATCATACTGTTCATATCTCTCTTAGCTTCTTCATAGCAATCTATCCATCAATATCTGTCTATCTATCAGGCACTTCATATCTCTATCTCTGTCAGCAACTTGCTATCTATCAATCTATCTATCTATCTATCTATCTATCTAACTATCTATCTATCTATCTATCTATCTATCTATCTATCTATCTATCTCATTCTGTTGATATCTATCTATCTATCTATCAATTAATCTCATTCTATTCATATCTATCAATCTCGTTCTGTTCATATCTATGTATATATCTATGTATCTATCTGTCATTTCTTTCTATTTTATTTTCCCTCCCTATCTGGTTAGTCATCTCTCTCTCTCACACGCACACACACACACACACATACACACACATACACACACAGACACGCACACACACATACACACTCAATCACTCACTGTCCCGGTCTCTCTTCCACTCTCCAGCTCTTAATTTGCCTTTTATCCTGAGTCTGATCCGTATATTTCACATTTTTCCCTCTCTCTCTCTCTCCCTCTCTCTTTCTTTCTATTGCTCTCTTTCTCTCTCACTATACATACGTATAAATTATATATATATATAATTCTTTGTCTTTCCTTCTCCCTTCCCTTTTTCCATCTCTCTTAACTTTTCATCACATTTCCCTCCTCTCTCTCTCTCTCTCTCTCTCTTTTCGTCACCTCCATTTTTCTCACACACTTTCACCCTTTCTTTTCTTCTTTTTAACACATTCTTCTATTCGAATTCTGAACCTCAGACGATAATTACTTTTCATTTGATCGATTGGATGATTGATTTCTGCTTTTCTTGTCTCTCCCTATCAGCGAATTCTTTTTATCTATTTATCATTCATCAGACTTTTCTATATACTCACTCGCTTCATCAATCACTATAACTACCTCATCTAGTTCATATATATATATATATATATGTGTGTGTGTGTGTGTGTGTGTGTGCGTATGTGTATGTTTTCGTGTTTCGGTATGATTGCGCGCGCATGCGCATTTTAGCCATTATTTGCCAACAAACGCATTTGTCTGTCCTTGAGGCAAAGCAAACCGCTAGGTGGCCACACAGCGTCTGTCGCTGCCTTCAGCAATTTGTCATTTCGCACGTACAGTTTATTTTGTACACATCTTTCGACGAATTCGCTATCTAGCTTGCAAGAAAAGGATGAGTTTAATTCCTAACATATGTCTCGACGTATAGACGCCAATCGTGCTTCTTGCCAGCAGAGAGAACGATCAGCTATACGTGTCTTTATTATTTTTTTTCTTAACCGTATCGGCTGGTGTCTGTATGACTTAGTATGTACACATCTACAGGGTGTCCATAAAGTCTCTTTACAGTTTAAAATAATTTATTATAAAAGCAAATGAACAGACAAATATTTGAAAAATGTTAGAAAATGAGGAGTTTTTTAAACTAATTTAATCCACCTCTATATGGACACCGTCAGTTGCAGGAAACACATCAAGACAGTACTCGATTTCTTGTCATGATCGCTGTAGCCTCATCAATGGTGGCAATGGTATCAGTGATCTTTTGTTTTAGATCAATGGGGTCACGTATCTTTGTTCGATACACGAAATCCATAAAAAAAAGTCCAGAGGAATTATATCTGCTGAACGAAATGGCCAGTGTATTGGACCATCATTTCCAATCCACCGAGTTGGAAATGTTCGATTTAGGACCGCACGAGTATAACGTCCCCAATATGGTGGCACTCCATCAATGCTTGAAAAAGATGGGTGGTTGAAGGTTATTTAGTTGTGGTGCCACATCGATTGCCTCGGTTATATATTTTTTAAATTGTGAAGAGACTTTATGGACACAATATATATATATATATATATATATATATATATATATATATATATCAAGAATGAAACAGACTGTCGCTTTTCGTTGTTGATATCCACTTTTATATTTACTTATGCTCTACTATGATACTGAGACTTATACTACATTTTATCATTATATATATATATATATATATATATATATATATATATATATATATATATATATATATATATATATATATATATATATATATATATATATATATATATATATATATATATATATATATATATATATATATATATATATATATATATATATATATATATATATATATATATATATATATATATATATATATAACTATACTCGTTTCGAAAAACCTTCGAATTTTTGATTTGCCGATAATAATTTTGACTATCGCCTATAAATATGCGTTTTCTTTTTTGCCTCTTTAGCCAGCTTTCCCTGACGATCCGCTTAGGTGAAACCTGGGTAGGTTTGTCTGGATCACTAGGTTTATCTATCTATCTATCTATCTATCTATCTATCTATCTATCTATCTATCTATCTCTCTCTCTCTCTCTCTATATATATATATATATATATATATATATATATATATATATATGGTGTATCAAAAATACTTTTACAAACTTTAGGGGCGGCGTCCTCACAAAAACAAGTAAAATATCCATTACAGTTTTTTAAAAATTATTACAAAAGCAAATCAAGAGAAAATATGTGGAAACTGTTACAAAATAAGGAGTAAATATTAAGTTTTTTTTTAACTAATTTAATCCACCTCTATATGGGCACCATTAGTTGCACGAAGCGCATCAAGAATTTCAGGTGTGTGATATCTGGTGGACAAGGTGGGCAGGGGATTGGGCCATACCTTCTAATCCACCGGTCTAGAAATGTTAGGGGTTCATTTAACAATACCTCTTTCATTAACAGGATACATAGAAATACACAAATGCAATGTGATTAAAAACATAACTACTGAGTACATAGAATAAATCTGGTTAACTCATCAATTGCTTTTTAAATTAATTTTGTAAATTGTGAAGAGACATTATGGACGGCAGGTAAACATTTATCTATCTATCTATTTATCTATATATCATGGCATACGAATACTATCTATCTATCAATCTATCCTCATTATACTTCTATTTATCTATCCTCGTTATGTTCATATTTATCAATCTGCCTATCTATCTATCTATCTATCTCTATCTATCTATCTCTCTCTCTCTCTCTATATATATATATATATATATATATATATTCATTATCTATTTATTTATCTAAGTCCATTCATTATCTACCTTTCTATTTTTCTCTTGTCTTTTTTTCTTTCTTTTCTATCTATCTATCTATCTATCTATCTAGTTAGCTATCTAGCTATCTTGCTATCTAGTTAGCTAAATATCTTCATTATCTATCTATCTATCTATCTATCTATCTATATTCATTATCTATTTATCTAAGTCCATTCATTATCTATCTTTCTATTTTTCTCTTGTCTTTCATTCTTTCTTTTTTCTATCTATCTATCTATCTATCTATCTATCTATCTCTTCATCATCTAGCTAAATATATTCATTATCTATCTATCTATCTATCTATCTATGTTCATTATCTATTTATCTAAGTCCATTCATTATCAATCGTTCTATTTTTCTCTTGTCTTTCTTTCTTTCTTTCTTTCTTTTTTCTATCTATCTATCTTTATTCATTATCTATCTATCTATCTATTTCTATATGTTCATTTTCTATTTATCTATGTTTGTTCATTATCTATCTATCTAGCTAGCTAGCTATCTTGTTCTTATCATTTCACACCAAGTAAGGCGATAGTGTAATTGTGACGCCGGGGTTTACAGGGAATGAATGAAAATGAGAAATCTTTAGTGAGGAGAATTGAGGAGAAAGAATAATGAAGAACGGGGTTCAAGAAAACAGAAGATGGCGATTGATGTTGCATTTAAATTTTGAAGGTTGGAGGTCGGGGGAGGGAAATAAGAGAAGTGGTGGTTACATCTAGTTCGACAGTTAAACGTTGAGACATAGTTACCATTCTAGTAGCAGGCTGAAATTTATGGCTTGGACTGATGCACCCCATGCGTTTGCTGTTGAAACGTAATTTTAAGACATATGAATCTGTCATTGCAACCCAGAGATCTTTTCGGGCTCATTTCGTGTTAGCTCGGAATTATGTTGTATCGGACAGAAAATCGATAATGCTATGGGTTGAAAATTTCAGGGCCACGGGTTCAGCAAGTAAAAGAAAGCCACCTTGAAGAAACTGAAGCCCTAAACCTTCTGGTTGGTCAAAAACATTAGAATTCATCTATCAAACGAGGTCACCATTTAGAGGATGTCATTTTGAAAACTAAATAAATAAAAATTGTAGCCCTTTCTTTAAACAACAATGAAATAAATTGTTTATTAATAGTTGACCTTTTTGTCAACATTTAAAATGTGGGAGATATTTCTGCTTCGCACTGTATAATACGCAGGCATAAAAATTTAAAGACAATATCATTTGTACGCTATTTCATACCCTTTTATATATCTCACAAGCTAAAAATATTTTGGGCCTTTAAATAACCAGAAAAAGATCCGTAGAAAATGAATCACTAAAAAATTTTAGAGGTTCTTGATTCGAATTTGCGTTTGCTGAAGCGAAGAAGAAATTAACCTCTTCAGCAGTAGCAACATCAGCGACAAGTTCTGCTTTCCAGGTTATCCATTCTTCGTTTCCGCAACAGGTGCAATGAATCAAAGGACCTGAAACAATGTACTTCGATCCAAAAAACGGAGATCCAGAATATGCTGTTTATTAAATGATTTCTAATATGTTTGTTACATATACAGGGTGTGATAGAATTACGTTTTAAACTGTTAAGCAAGTGGCAATTTTATCTCCATCTATCTAAGGTCGTACCATTTTTTCATATGCCATCAATTAACAGGATCTCTTGCACTGCTGCACACCGTGCGTTTGTTGTTAAAACAGTATCTGTCTATATTTCTGAGATGAGGTATTATGTACACTACTTACATTATTCGGACTATTGTTCTCATCTTTGTTGTCATATTTATTACAACGTTTCCGCCTTTCAGTATCTGTCTATATTTCTGAGATGGGGTGTTATGTACACTACTTACATTATTCGGACTATTGTTCTCATTTTGTTGTTATATTTATCACAACGTTTCGGCCTTTCAGTATCTGTCTATATTTCTGAGATGAGGTATTATGTACACTATTAACATTATTCGGACTATTGTCCTCATCTTTGTCGTCATATTTATTACAATGTTTCGGCCGTTGTACGCTCCGGCCTTCTTCAGGTGGTCGGAATGTCGAACTGAACCCTTTATTTCGCTCACTGGGGTAGACTGTTCTAGTTCCACGTGCCATGTTTTAATGGATGTCAGTTATCTCCTGTTAATTCCCCTCTCCAAGTTCTCCACTGCCTTAACCCGGTATTGAACTCACACTCTCTACCAGAAAAACAACATTATAATAATGCGATAATAACAACAAACATTGCAATATGAGCACTGGTAAAAAAAAAAAAAAAACGGTTGCAGAGACATTAGATTTATAATACCCAGAAATTCATACCCAGATGTCCTCAAGGCACAGTGGATAAAGGCAGTACCCGAAAAGTGTGAGTTCAAGACCTGGTTAAGGCAGGAGTTTTGCTATTGGAAAAATAACGTAAGACAGCCTCATGAATGACCTCTTCACAGCGAATGAGTAACTCTGGGGTACGCAGTTTCGAAATTTGGTCTATGGGGCTCTTATTTATTTTATTTTATTTTTATTTTTTATTTTATTTATTTTATTTTTTTTTTTTTTTTTTTTTTGAGGAGGAGGGAGACCACTCGGTTACAGTAACATCTGACCGGTCTGTGAAGGTGCTACAGACCTTTAAGGAAGCAAAACCTTGGGAGTCCAGATGTGTGGTTTCAACAGGATAGAACCACCACACACACAGCGAGAAGATCTATGGAAGCTTGGCTAGCGATGTTTCCAGGACATTTGATTTTCTTACGCGGTAACGTTCGATGGTCTGCACGCGCGCCAGATTTCGTCTCCCTGCGATTATTTTCTCTCCGGTTACATGAAAGCTGAGATTTAAAAACATCAACCAGCAACAAGCCTTGAAGAATTACATTTCTCAAAAAGATGCCAGAAATACTGTCAGAATTGATTCTTCGTGTGATAGAAAACTTGAGGGATGTCATTTTTTTAACACCAAATGATGAAAAACTAGCCTTTTATTTAAATTAGAGTCCAATACTTTTTTAATAGTCGCTACCTTGGTCCTTTGTCAACCTTTATAATATAGGAGGTATTTCTGTTGCACTTTGTATTTAAACCAAAATTAAAGATTTTATTGTTTCTTGATCTCCTCTGTCAGATAGTATGCGTTTATAGTGTATTTCAGAGTTTAAACCCATTTAGGGTTATGAACATTTATTATGGGCTTTGTAAAGTAATCACGTAATTTACAGCTTTTATTTTTGACTCAACCAACCAAATCAGGGGAATGGTAAAAGAATTAGTTCATCTTTTCTCTCCGACGGTGTGTCGTTTATCGTGCATTAAAAGAGATTAACTAAAACTCTTGGTGCATTTTTATATTCAAATTCACCCCATGCAAGGCAGTAAAGTCGCTAAGACATAAGGGATTACTTGCAGTAGAAGAATTAGGAACAAAAAACATTGCTAATGAGCGATAATAAAAGCAGAGTAATCAGAAAGACAGTAACGAACGTCCTACAATCGAAAATATGTTCCGGCATTAATTAAACCGAAAGTGCGAAATTGGAAATGAAGAAATATCATGGAATCGACTGAAAACCAAAAATATGGAAGTTAGAATTATCATCGTTGGAGAGATTAGAATAGTCTCAGAGATAGCTCTGAAGAGACACCAGAAAGGGGACGCACGAGAAAGAAACGAGACAAACTGGGAAAGAAATATCAGAAATTGATTTAATACAGCTCGTCAAAATATAGTATTTAAAATATCAAAACAACAGCATAACTGAAATTAGTTGCTGTGCTGAGGAGGATGCTGGGATATTTATGGTAACAAGCACATACTTGTTCTCAAAAAAAAAAAAAAAAAAAAAAAAAAGACCAAAGGGGATAAATGCAAGCGAGAGAGAAAAAGTGAGCAATGTAAATGAAGAAAAATATAATATTTATAAACCTTAGGCAAAAGCATTTAGCAAGGTATGGTACGAAGATCTATTTGAACTGTTAGGAAAACTCGATCTAATTGGAAAAGATATTAGAATAATCCAAAACTTATACTGGACACAAACCGCCTATATACGGATGTGAAATAAATTAAATAGCTATACAACAATAGAAGGATAAGTGAAAAAAGGCTCTCTAGATTTATTCAAACTCTACAATGACGCTATTCTTTGGGAACTGGAGACCCGAATCTATTTTCGGTGGGCGTAATCATAACAATATAGGATATGTAGATGATACTTTGTTGATGGCTACAGGACCTGCTAGACAATGTAGTAGAGGAAAGCGAGAAAAAAGGACTGCAAAGAAGACAAGAGAAAATGGCCAAGATATGAGCTACCAATTTGAAATATAAATATCAAAAAGGTGCAAAAGTTCAAACCTCTGGCAAGGTTTTTTTTATATAACAAAGGCTGAAAAATGTAACCCTGAGATCCGAACAGACAATGGAATAGCGAAGTAAGTATTGCAAAAGTTAAGGTGCTGCGAAATGGGAAAATGTTTGAAAGGAAAGTGAGCTGGATTACGATGTGGTATCCATCTTGTTATATGGAAGTGAACGTTGGGCAATCTCCCTACGGGCGAGGAAATAAATTAGAAGCAAGAGAAATGTGATTCTACAGATTGATACTGAAAATTCCAAGGATGGAGTGAGGAAGCAGCGAGAAAGCCCTAAAGAAAATAGCAACAGAAAGAATTTTTTTTAGGAAAAGGTAGGTAAAATTCCTTGGCGCATGATGAGGAAGTAGGGCATGAAAAAGTTAAAGTCTCACGAGTCATATTGAGGGCAAAAGCGATAAAGGAAGGCAGGAAGTCACTTGCGTAACCGGATGGCAGAACGGGGGTGCGATGGCCAGAGCTAAAGGAGAAAAACTGCTAAGAGAAAGGAAGTTGGGGAAAGCCATGATTGCCTATGTCCTAAAGGGACATGGCACGAAGAAGAAAAAGAAAAAGAAGAGGCTAAAAGTTCAGAAGAATGTATTTTATTTATATATTTAAGCGATGTTTCTATCTTTTCTTTCAAGAAGAAAGTATTCGTTTTCTCTACCACTTGTTCCATTTCAGCTCACTCACCAATTTTGATTCCCCTTCTTTTCTCCCTCTGTTAACAATACTGTCATATCATTTGATTTGATCCTATAATTGTGATATTTGATATTGTATTGTGCTTTCTAATTTCGCCTTATCATCATTTGTTTATAATTTCCAATGATATCTTCCGTCTTGGTGATTTTTTAAAATGTGTGTAGTTGCTCAAAAGTTGTGACCTTGTGGCATACAAAACTACGTTTAATAAATGAGGATTTAAGAAATTTGATTTTTCCTCTTCTGTATGCTTCTTCTTTCGGGTTTATATTTCTATTTTCTCTTATATTGTCTTTCTTTGTCTCGAAGTTTGTTTTGGGTTTTTTTTTCCTTCTTTTTTATGCTCTGATCTTCTTAGCCATCATCAGCTTTTCTTCTTTTTCTTCTTCGTCTCCTTTTTTCTTTCTTCTTTCTTTCTTCTTTCTTTCATTGACAATATTTTTCTTACGTTTCCTTCCTTTTTTCTTTTTTTTTTTTCATCAACATTTTAATTTCAACTATTCTATTATTATTTTTTTCTTTTTCTTTCGTTCGGTCTGTATTTTTTTATTTTCCCTTTCTTACTTTTTACTCGTTTATATTCCATCTTTCGTCTTTTTTTTTTTTTCAATGTATAAATTTCTGCGTTTTCATGCTTTCTTTGATTTTTTTTTTTTAATTTTTTATTCTCCAATATATTTATTTTGTATTTTTTTCGTTCCTTCTTCTTTTACCTTTCTTCTTTTACATTATAATATGAATTTCTTCTTCTTCTTCTTCTTCTTCTTCTTCTTCTTCTTCTTCTTCTTCTTCTTCTTCTTCTTCTTTTCTATTTGTGTTGCTCCCCCCTCGAATGATATTCTCTCTCTTTTCATCATAACTGTTTCTTTTTTTATTATCACAATTTTGTGTTTTTTCTTTATTTTTGTCCACTTTTTACTTCCCACGGTCCTTTTTCTTTTTCTTCATTTTCTTCTTTTTTGA